AAAGTTCCCCGCTGTGTGTTTCATAAATGTTTATCCCACATGACTCCAGCCCCCCTCCCAAAGTTTGCTTAGGATTGCTGTAAACCCTGCCAGCTCTCATCAAAGAGAAAGATTAAAAAAACTGAAATATATAAAGCCTGCTTCAACATGTTTGGTTTGAAAGAAACTCTTTTGGAAACCACAAATTACCTTCCTTAAACAGTTCTCCACTTTTGAGAGTGGGCAAGAGAGAGAGAGAGAGAGAGAGAGAGAGAGAGAGATGAGAGAATGAGAGAGAGATGAGACGACGATGAGCGAGCTCATCGAGAGATCGACGAGAGAGGAGAGAGCGAGAGAACGAGAGAGCGAGAGAGAGAGAGAAGGAGCGAGAGAGAGCGAGAGAGAGAGAGAGGAGAGAGAAGAGAGAGAGAGAGAGGAAGAGAGAGAGAGAGAGAGAGAGAGAGAGAGAGAGAGAGAGAGAGAGATAGTTGAAGTCGTGAGGCAGACTTTATCAAATGTATCCATCTATCTTTTTTTTACATTTCAATATTACTATTGTTGTTTAACACTGGTCTTTTTTAGCTTTTAATATGAGGACATTGGTCTGACGCTCCCCCGATTTTTAAGATTGAACTTTTGGATGGATTGTAATACAATTGTACACAGACTCATGCTGAATGAGGATGAATCCTTAATACTAACCCACTGAATTAGTGTGCTGTTGGGGGTGTCCCTGAACACTTTCTAATTCACAATGGGATTTTTGTTCAACTTAAAATGTAAATAAAGTGACAGGCTTACCCCCAAAATTCATGTTGTTTTTTATTAGTTGGCCCTTGGCCTCCTGTCAAAATATGTGACAATATATTTTTGTATCCCTAAACGAGCACCAGCAACAGGTCAACATTTTCACTTTTTCAGTGAGGCACAACATTTTCAGGATAAACTGTCTTTCGATTTTTGAAATATATATATATTTTGTTGATTTGTAATAAAAAAGTACTGCACTGTCTGTGCAGTACTTTTTTTTCTCTTTGTCTATGTCTCGCTGTCTGCGAGACATAGACAAAGAGATACTCCATTACAAAAAGTTGTAGCGCAGCTAATGCACTATACAGTGAATAAATAGGTTCTTAAACCAAAATACTCATTGTACTCTTCTTGCATGTGCATGCTACTCAGAGAGAAGAAGGATATCTAATTTACTCGTTCATTATAAAACAATTGAAAAGGAACACACCGCCTTACATCCCTTTTCAAACAGGAGAATAGTGAGAGTGGTAATATTCTCAGTAAGTAGAGGAGAATGTAATGTTGTTGGGCACTAAATTACAGTCATTGAAAGCTTGTATGGTTACCCAGCGATCTATCACTGTCACACAGTGAGGGAGAGGGGGAGAGAGAGCAGACAGGCGCCAGTCGCCAGTCGCAGCAGGATCAAAGCAGAAATGTACCTCAGGGAGAGAAACAGTTAACTCCATTTAACCAATTGTCTACAGACAGTCAGTCAGTGTGCTGCTGCAGGCCCAACAACAGTTCCCATAAGAGAAAAGAAACTCTCACATATTGGGTTTCACTGAAAATAATTTGACTTGATTTGAAGAGCTGCAAAACAAGGCCAATTTGGAAGGGCCTCTTCAATGGGCCTCTGCAACATTAGTTGGGGTTTTACTGTCTCACAAAAGGGTTAGAGACAATGAACACAATAGGATGAAGTATGGGCAATACACAGCCATAGATAATTTGATTACAGACCACATGATATGTTATTTATAGTGACAGTAACTCTGAAGAGTATATTCAAAATCCGGTGAATTAAAGCCCGGATTGTCTTACTGTTTTAATGAAACACCGTGATAAAGTGTTGTAACATGTAAATCCAACCTTTCAGACAGGGTCCTACAACAAGTTAAAGCACTTTTGGTCTCATAACAAAACATTTAATAACATTAACCTTTTTTGCAACTGACTCTTTGTGTCTCTATTTTGTAACTGTTTTCATTATTTTATTTATTTGGCCCTTCGGGGGCAGTGGAACAAGCTGTTAACACGTATCAACATATCTTTGCCTTAATATCTTGTCAATATTTAACAAAATGTTTCAGGCAATACTGGAAGCTAGCAAAGATATATGTGCAAATACATGTAAATATGATGTTATCTTCAAAGTTACATTAAATTATGCCAGAGCATCAGAGAGGGAGCTGATGTAGCTGAGGGGGGACAACAGCAAAAAATGGGAGGGAGTCATAATTATGCGCCCCGCCCCTGATCAGAGGTTTACATCTGTAAAGGCACCATGCACAGGCACAAGAAGTGGACCACAACACTGTCATTACAAGCCTGACCTATCAGAAACAGTTTTAGCTGCGTCACGTGGGAACATGGACAGACTGATAGGCAGGCGGAAAGATGAGAGTGCAAACTCATGGCACTTCACTCACTGAAGGAGAGACAAGTCCGTGCGTAAAAGCTGAAGTTTAACGCTGCTGCGCAACATTGGAGCCACCTGGGAAATAACAGATTTGTGGGAGTGAAAACGCAAAAAGAAAAACAGCAACGGGGCGAGCGGCAGGATATTTGGTTGTATGGCACCTCAGTCGTGCGTAATGAATCCTGAGCAGGGATCACCGCCCTCGGCTGCTCTGGGGGAGACCTCACCGGAGGACCGAGCCGCTGGAGGCACAGGAGCCGACGAGCTGGACCTGTCATCTGTCAGAAGGTGTAAAACAAAAAGCTTAGATCTGCCTTTCAGTGTGGAGTCCCTCATATCAGACAGGACGCCGGACAGGAGACTCCACTCCCCTAAACATGGTCCAGCAGAGGAGACCGAGTGTGCGTCACCCAGCGGACTGTACCGCTCCAAACCCGAGGCTGTGGACCTCAGCGACAAGGAAACGAGCCCCTGGTTGCAGACTCCTTACGCATCCCCTCCAAGTGAGTGTAGGATACACTTGTTTTCTAAAATATGAGAAACAAATATCTTTCAACGTTGAAACGGTCAAAAATATTTCTTTAATTGGCCTATATGGATATCCTTTATCACTAACCTTGCACGAAATACGACAGTGAATGTTGATCTATACAAATTAATCCATAACCAATGTCTTTTTACAATAGTGCACTGATGAGAAAACTCAATGTAAAAAGCCACTTCATAATCTATATTTCTCTATAACTAAAGGTGATGGAAATACTATTGCATTTAAAAGGCTTCAAATAACAGCTTCTGCAGCCTAAATATTCTGTGAATGAAATGGCTTGACTTGTACCCATGCATGAAGTAAAGTTATAAAGTCACTTTTAAGTCATATCGATCATTTATTTTTATTTGCAATAATCTGACTCTCTATATCCACACTTTCAGGACTTCCCAGCCCCTCATCGTGCAATCTACGTAAACACAAGAACAACAGGAAACCCAGAACTCCCTTCACAACCTCTCAGCTGCTGTCTCTGGAGAGGAAGTTCCGTCAGAAACAGTACCTGTCCATCGCAGAAAGAGCGGAGTTCTCCTGCTCCCTCAGCCTCACAGAGACCCAGGTCAAGATCTGGTTTCAGAACCGCAGGGCCAAGGCCAAGAGGCTGCAGGAGGCCGACCTGGATAAATTCAAGCTGGTCGCGAAGCCGCTGCTGCCGGCCTTCAGCTTCCCCTTCCCCCTGGGCCCTATGGGTGCTCCGTCCCTCTACGGGGCTCTGACCGGACCCCGGCCGGCCTTCCCCGTCCCGGGACTATTCGGTGGACCATATGGGATGTACTACTTGTCTTAACCCTCACTAACTTTGAACTGCATCGTGTGGAAAGCTTCTATAAAAAACGCCTTGATACAGCAAATGACCAACACTGCAAAAAATCCACCATGAGTCAACCTGTCGTGAATCCTATATTCGAACAAGCATATGATATTTTCGTTATAAGGAAAAATGTAATATTTTTTTGTACACAAAAATACTGGTAGAACAATCTCGGCCACTAGTCCTTCATGTAGGCCTTAGAAACACGTGAAACGGAAATAAGTGGGATATTTTCACTCCATTGGCATTTTTAAAACACATCTTTATAATAGGCTAAATTACTTTTCTGTCAACAATTAAGCATGTGTTAACATTTTTATTTGCAGTGCATTCGGTATTATCTTTTATGTTATAACGCAGACTCACTGAGTTTATTGTTCGGGTTCCATATTCAAACTTCATATATTTTAAGGTTTTCTACTCCGTAAATATTTAAGTCAGTAATTTTAAAGAGATTACACGATTATTTAAAACCCTGAAGTTTTGTGGTTTTAAGCAATAATTGCTTTTTTAAAGCACTTTTTACCTACATTCCCGAGGCCTTTGATTGTACGTTAACATACGACCAGAGAATATAAAGAAGAAATTAAGAAAACAAATTAAAGAACATTATTCTAAAAGAACATCCATATAATCAATAATGAGACCCATGAAACCCCCCTGGAGTGCTCCTTAGTGCCTTTTCATCACTTTTGTAATGAAGTCAAAAGTTTAGAAAGAACCTTTTCCTTATTTAAAAATATGTTTATCTTTGGCATTACTAGATTCTTTTTTTTTCATTTGAACCATGAGAGCTTTCAACGAGAATGTATTAAACAACATAATTCCCGTTAGTTTCTAAGTTCTTAACACTTTTCTGTTTCAAAAATATAAATCAGCTATAAAATTAATCTGTTAATTAATGTTATTTAATTGTATTTACAGTACCTCAAAAGGAAAACTTTTTTGCACAGGTGTTCAAAGAGCTCTTAAAAGTCCTGTTTCATTACTAAAATGTAAATAAAAGTCATCAGCTATTTTTGCAAACATTCAAAAATGCTAAATGAATATACAGTGTATTTTATATCTGATGGGTAAAGAGATGTTTTGTACAATTATTAAAATCTTTTATGTAAATTCTGCCATCTGTAATTTTTTCTCTTGCAATTTGTCCATATAATTTGTCATTTAAGCATTGCAGCGCTGCTTATCACCTGAATGAATATATATTATATACACATCAAATATTTGTTGTAAAAAACATTTTTATTTGAAGTCAGCATCCCATATGACAGTAAATATATTGTGTTACATGACAAGTGTATAAAGTTATTTATATTCATAGAACAGAAAGCAGAATTCTGTTGGTTTATTTCCTCCTTCCCCGCCGCCCTCTGAAGCCCCGGACGGAGCCGCGACCAAAACACACATTTGTGGGGACCCTGGGAGACAAAAACACAGCTGCCTCAGATGTCATTTAAATACTCTGGAGAATATTAGGAGGATTTCAATTCATACATTTTAATTATATAATATTGTGTTTAAATAAGACAAAGATCTCTTTCTGCAGTTTGCTAAACCTTAATTTAACTACATAATTGCACCTTAAAAGTTAACATTAAAACATCTTAAAAATGGCTGAATTTAAGCCTCCCTTATTGCAGCCGAAAGCTGCCTGGGACATCCAGTGCTTTGCAGACTTGTTAAAGACTAACCTGTAGGAGTATCGTGGTTCCAGTGGGTCGCTGCTTGAACTCTCTGTGCTGGGAGCTGCAGCATTAAGATCAGCATGCTCCTCAGTAGAGGCCGACTTTGCCATGCGAGCAGCTTCTTCCTCGGACCCATGCGTCTCCATGGATTCTTCCTGCTCGGGTTGGTGGGACAGACCATCACACATAACCTCACACACACCCTCAGACTCACACACATCGTCCACGACATCCATGGTTGTGTCTTTCTGCGGCTGTTTCTTCGTCTGCCGGTTTCTATTAACAAAGACATGAATTAAGAATATACACAAACATTATATTTAAATACAATTATAATGATTTAACACTGGTTTAAGCAATATTATGGCTTATTTTTGTAAAATATTGTGTTAAACAACAATTCTTGCAACAATTCTTGCCTTATCATATTATGTTTAAATAAAAAAATGAAATAGCTGATTGAAAAAAGACACATTGCTTCAACTCAAGACATTTATAAAGAGGCCTGAATCCTGTTTACATCAATAAACTCTCCAAGACCGAAAACTTGCATAGAAAACTATTTTTTACTGAGGTTTTGCTGCCATCTAATGGAGAAAATATGCATTCTTACCCTTTGTCCTTTTTGGTTTTGTCAAATCTGAAGTCTGGAGGATACTTGTGAATTTTGATTAGGTGGCCCTTCCTGTGTTTACTAGTGCTAAACTTCTGTCCACAGCCCTCCACCAAACACTGGTACTGAAAAATGTAAAGGAAGTGTCATGTAAAACTTTAAAGACTCAGTGTTCATTTTCAAATAATGTTATAGGGTTATGCTTATAGTTTAAGAGCAAGACAATAAGGTGTCATGGGAAAGGACACAACCGCAGACTTTTGCTTACCATATCTTGCCTCTGAGAAAGGATAGTGAAGAGAGAGTCGTGCCACTCCTGAATGTGAATGTCTAGGAGCCGGGCACTTGGCAGGGAGCGGCGGCAGGAGCAGCACACGTGTCTGTGAAGGGAGTTGTAGTGGTGCTCATACTCCTCCAAAGTGCTGAAGATTGCACTGCAGCCGGATATGTGACAGGCAAACTCTGAAACACTGAGAAAAGATCACAAGAGGAGGCTGGTGACTTACAGTCGGACCCACACTGACAATACAATCCACATTCGTAAGTTAAGGAATATCATTCCTGGGGCACATTTGTACACGGCTGTTACATTGTTCTAATTTCTGGAGATGTATCTTATCACTTAAGCTAACTGTTGTTTTGATGTATTTGTTTCCTAACCCCATGTGTTTTGGGTGTTTGTAAAGTTAACCCCGCATGCATCTTTATTTACTTGTATTTCCTCGTTTGTTGTTGCTTTAAAGTTAAGTTCCTACACTATCCTCCCTGAAATGAAATGGCCTAAATAATATATGTAGCAGTATTTATATTTGATACATCTGTTTTTTCATTAGTTGTAATTGTTAGTGTGATAGACACTAGGAAGTGTTTTATTGGTTGTTGGTTTTAATGTGTGTACATTATATAATCTGGCATATAGCATCTCTTCTTTTTTTTAGATTAATGTTTATACATGGACCTTGTTCAATACAAATAAATACATACACAATAGTTGTGTTTGTTAACCACAGTCACACACAAGCTCACATTTTTACCAAAGCTAACCTTGGTTTTCTTTGCATACCTGAGTGTTGGCTTGTCCTCAGCCTCTGAGATGTAGAGGTCTTGCAGGTACATGTGTCTGTGAATGTCCCCATCCTGTAAAAACATTCAGCAGCAGTGAGTTATGCTGAAAAGGTAAGCTAGCTAATGTTGTAGCCACGGTTATATATGTGCTTCAGCAGAATGAGTACGGTTCATTTAGTTGTTGCTATGTTACCTCGAACAGCTGGTGGTCCTTGTTCAGGTGTATCAGCTGAGGGGTGAAGTTGAACGGGTTTCCCTCCTCACCCTCTTCTCCCTCACTCTGCCTCGGCTCCTGAGTGTTTCCTGTCAGACAGTCTTCATCGCAGCTCTTTACTAAAACATGTCCCTCTGTCAGAAGTCGTACCAAGTCTGGCTGCAGCATCGTTTTTTGAAACGTCTGTAAAAAGCTGCAGTGAATGTGAAGAGTTTTTATGTTTTGGTTGTAGTTGTCGCGGAATGACGACGTCACCTAGTATTTTGGCGGTTGTCAAATCCAAAATGATGCGTTGTCGCCATCAATTGGCCAGAATCAGCCTCAAGATGCAAAGTCCATTTCAAAAAGGTTGGGATAGGGATATTTGATTTAATGCGTGTGGTATAATGCTCCACAAAAAATATAACTTTGCAAGGTTAAGGGTTAATTCGCCATGCGTCAACATATTTTACTGCATTATCTATTTAGTTTATATTCTTACTGACACTGTAAATATTCCCGGGTAACGTCGAATGTAATTATCAGAAACTTTTGCTGCCCCACGTTAAGTAAATGTTTTTTAGGTTTTTTATATTTAAAAAGAGTGACATTAAGTATGTTTCCTCTCTGAATTAGTAGCCTACTGGAGCGACATTATTAGTAGCCTACAGAAGCGACATATTTATCGCTGACAAAATAATGTTATTGTTGAAGCTGCTGTCTGGGACTTTTTTAATTTGAATTTAAAAATAATAATTTGAGAAAACAGCTTTCGATCAATCAAATCTGACATTGTTCCGCCATCTCTCCAGTAGGTGGCGACAAAGTCCACTAATGGGCTTTAAAGGGTTTACTATTATACTTCGCTGTGATCTGCTGTCAATATATTGAGTTGGCTACTGAAGATATTTTAATAAAGAAGAAGTTTCCTATGTGTTTTCCCATAAATCTGCCAGCAAAGTATTTCTACATTCAGCGGAAGGCATACTTAAGTTGTAATCTAGTTCACATTTAAATAAATATATGTGTAACTCTAACCTACTAGTGGTAAATGGGGAAATCAAATCCTGAGTGAAAGATACACTTAAAAATTCCCCATAGCCACGTAGAAACTTCAAAACCAAGGAGGGGAACTTTAAGGCTGAGCCGACTGTCTTTTTTTCACTGGAAAACTTCCACCCATTTCTAACCGATGTTCATCACTACAGCTTAATTTCCGGCAAAAATCATGTCTGTAACCTAAACATTGGATCAGCACCTTACACAATTTATATAAATGTTGTAAAGAACAACGTTGGACATTTCTAAAGCTCGGATAGTGACTCATGTGGTTTGTCAACCTCAAATGGTAATTTTCAGGATATTACACATGAGGGGCGGAGAGCTGAGAGCCTATTTCCCTCTGACTCCAGCTCACAATGACAGAGTCCGTCCGGTAGAGCAACATGCAATATTCTGGATATTTCATATGGATTTTCTTCTCCTCGTGGGGTACGACTTTTCTTTCTTTTTTCTCTTTGCCATTCTTGCTTTTTCTTGTTTGTTTTTTCGTTGTTCTTTCTTGTTTTTTTTGTCTCATTAAATAGCCTCTCCCTGGTACTTGCAGGAATAATAGCGGACAGCGTGAGGACTCTCCCTCATGTGATGAAGTACCAAACTGTGATACCTCAGAGAATAAAGGATTCATCTCTCAGTAATGAAGCTGCTAAACATCAGGTAACACTCACTCTACAGTTCAACTTTTGATATATATTTGTTAAGAAATTAAAACAATATATAAAGTTTAAACACACGTTTTAAGAATGTCTTAAAGTATATTTTTCCGTGTGTGTGTGTGTGTGTGTGTGTGTGTGTGTGTGTGTGTGTGTGTGTGTGTGTGTGTGTGTGTGTGTGTGTGTGTGTGTGTGTGTGTGTGTGTGTGTGTGTGTGTGTGTGTGTGTGTGTGTGTGTGTAGACATACCCTGATGTGCTCCAGTACTCTTTGACGATAGCAGGGAAAAACTACACTTTACATCTGGAAAAGAACAAGTGAGAAAAACTAAAATGTTGTTGGAAAAGTATATTTTTTCTGTATTTTTTCTTTCTTGATGTGTAAATACTATTGCCATAAAAAAACCTCTGTACTTTTCAGAGATCTTGTCGGGGAAAACTTTTCTGTGACACACTATTCTGATCAGGGCACCCAAGTCAGAACTACTCCAGATCTGAGGGTATGTTGCTTAACATTTTGTCACTACTATTTCACTATAAAAGAATCAATATCATCATGCTTGCATTATGATGTGTTACATCAGAAACACATGCCTGTGCTTGTTAGCCTCAAATGAAAGCTGAGTACCACTAGTAGCACATAGCCTGTTAATCAGACGTACTTTTTTTCTCCACTCTATTCATTCTGTTGAAATCGTTGAATAAATTAAGATGTGGGCGATTCAGCAGTCTGAGAGACAGCTACGTGCAGGATATCCTGTGATACCTGCTCTGCCAGTTTCAGTTTTTAGTTTTTACGTTGGCTTTTCTGTGTTTTTTTTTGTTTTGTTCTGTAAAAGGCTGGTTTGACTATATTGTTGAACTATTAAATATAAGAAACCGGGTCCAAGAAAATGTAAAATGCAAGTATTCCTTCAATTTTGGTTACAGTATTTCCCAAATATATTAAGCTAACTGTCAAGTAACCCCCACAAATTAGTACATTCATATCTAATTGTCTTAGATTATATGAAAGACCTGCCAGTAACTTCTTATTCGGAAATGTCCGATGTCGTGATAAAAGGAAGTTGCCCAACTTCAAATTTTTTATAAGAGGTGACACAATCCACTGAAATACTTGAGTCCAATGTGGAAGAGGAATTTACGTATATGGTTAAGACATTTCACAAGACATTTCATCTGACCATGACACACATCGCACAATATCTTCTTCTTCAAATTGGGCCAATTTCGCATTGTGCTTATGGAAAAAAAAGTGTGACTTAAATCTCTCCTCTTGCCTCTGACGAATAACTGCTGTCTGTTCAGGTTCACTGCTACTACCATGGGCACATAGTGGGAGTAGAGGACTCCTCTGCCAGTGTGGAACTATGCTCAGGAATAAAGTGAGTATTGCTGGAAGTCATTTTTTTGTTATCTCTCATTAAAACAAAGTTATCGTTTTTTGGAGTACTGTGCAAAACGTAATCAAGCCCATGATGATTTGACTTATCACAACAGTGTCCAATCAAAAGAGAGGATCAATTGCTCATCGTCCATTTCTCCTATTACAAAGACCATTAAGACTGCACCGTGTAGCTCTGCATCTGTAACTCAATCAACAAAGGCCATGCAAAGCTGCCTTCTGTCTTGCTATAAAATACATGTCTATTAGTGTCAGTATCTGTGGAAACTTGAAAGCTTGATAAACAAACACATGTCTTGTAGTCAGTTGCACTGAGATCTGTTTGAGAATTAGAGATGCTGTAGAAAAAGAAAAACTGCTTTGTGAGTCTCTAAGAACTTCCTGCTCTGCACTACAGGGGGTTTGTGCGTCTCCAGGACCAAATGCATCTCATCGAACCTTTGGCCGGCGCCAAGGTGGGACAGCAGGACGACAGACAGAGCTCCCAGACTCACAGTGACGAGGGGCTTCATGCTGTCTACAACTACAAACACCTGAGGAGGAAGAGAAGCTCCTGTTCCCATGGAAACACAACCACTTTCTATGATCATGGAGCTCTTCCGTCTGGACTGTTCCAGCTCAGCAGCCTGGTAAAGACACACAGAGTACACACATACAGAAATACTCCAGGGCTTGAAGCCGACAGCTGATATCCAATATTTTGTGTATCGTTCTTACATTATGCAATTTTGAGGGAAAAAAGCATAACAAAAAAGCATTGACCATAAAATACTACTTAGCTATAGCTCTGTTAGTGTAATACAACACTCTTCCATTGATATTTTAAAAGTCTTACAATATGAGAACCAACACAAATATGTAGATGTATACAAAGTTGTTTGCACTCCACATTAACAATTAGTTGTTTACAACAAATTAAGACGCAAAAAGGAAATAACTATAGGGAAATTAAGTAAACATTGAAAAGAAGAAGAGATACAGAGACAATATTTGTTCATAAGAATCATTTTGTGTCATGCAGTACTTTTGCATCAGGATAATTAACACATTCCACAGTTTGAATATTTTTGTTTGTATTATTTCATTATTATTTATCAGTTTCGAGAGGTTCTTTACAAATAAACTAATTCAAATCAAGTGTATTTATATAAAAAGCGTTCCGACTCTTTTAATGTTGTTAAGATCATCCACCCTTTGTGCCTTCAGAGAAGCAGAGCCCAGACCAAAGACCGTTCAGGGAAACCCCGGACAGTGGAGCTGGTGGTGGTGGTCGACCACACGGAGGTTTGATATATTTCCTTTCTCTGACTGACCCTGTTATTGCAGATGTAGCCAAAGATAATGATCGTTTTACTAATAGAAACATGTTTTTTTTTAGTATAAGAAGTTTGGCAGTAAGAAGACCATTCAGGCTAGAGCGCTTGAAATAACAAACCACGTAGACAAGGTAAGTTTGTTTCTCTGTTGTCTATCACTATAAATGATTCAACCTTGTCATGTTTTTGCTCTGTTAAACAAAAAGCACTGATCGGATTAAATAAATGACCAGGGCCATTCTAAAGTAAACATTAGTATAAAAGCTTACTTCTTTTTAACTTTCTCTGACCTCGGACTAAGTACCCATCCAATTGTTCCAGCAATTATTTGTATTTATATTAATAAAAGAAAATACCTTCAACATCTTTATCACAACACAGAACTGCCACGTTTCTGGACCCTTCATTTTCATTGTGTATTAAATACCAGAAGTCTGTCCTGATACTATGTGTTCCTCACTGACTGGAATCTGACCAATAATAGCAAAGGGATAGTTCTCTCTCTGTGAAAATCTAACTTTAACTGTGAATCTTCACACCAAAGCTGTTGTGCTTCACACATTTCTCCCAATCCTCATTGCATACTCTGAAAGAGAAGTGCAAGCATCAGACAGCACTAGACCCAACAGGTGTTTCCTGGGACCGATGAGGCCTTTGGTTCTGTGATTTGTAGCAGTGCTTAATCTTTTGTGTTCTAAAATACTGTTCTGAACATTTCATTCAGTTTTTGGTTGCGTTCCAGTTGGTGCTAACATGCTGCTGTGTTTCAGCTCTATCGCCCAGTGGGTGTCCGTGTGATGCTGGTGGCTCTGGATATCTGGTCATACAAAGATC